CTACCACTGAGCCACAACTCCAGCCCTAATTCTGTCAATTTTTGACTCATTTATTTCCAGGTACTGTTGTTAGGTGTATGTATATTTAAAATTATTTATGAGTTCTTGAATTTTTTTTTCATTATGACTGAGGCTTTTTTTTTTTTTTTTTTTTTTAAATCTCTGGTAATACTCTTTGTTCTGAAGGCAGTTTTAGTTTCCATCAGCATAGCCCCTGCAGACTTTGACTATTTGTTTGGCATTTTTCCATCCATTTATTTTCAAATTCTCTGTGCTTTTGTATTTATTCTGTCTCTTATAGTCAGCATGTGATCGATCCTTTTATCCACTGTCAATCTCTGCCTTCTTACTGGACTGAACAGAGACCATCAACATTTAATGTAATTACTAATATGGTGGCCTTTTTTGGTCTTCTATTTTATGATATGATTTATTTATCTGTTTTAAAAATTTCTCTGTTTTTCTTGTCTTTTGCTTTCTCTTGGATTATTCAAATATTTTACCTCTTGGATTTTTGGCTATCATTCTTTGGGTCTTCTTTTTGGTGGTGGTTCCTGGGGTTACATTTTTACTTTTCATAGTCTCCTTAGAACAGAAATTGTAGCATTGCAAGCAAAATGTAGATGTCTTGCAACCATATAGATCTTTAACCCCCACATTTTGTTATAGTTTTATGGATTTTATCTGCAGACATTAAAATGCTTACCAGTGTTTTAACTTTTGCTTTCTACAGTGTTATAGATTTAGACTACTTGAGAGAGAAAGTCTTTTATATTTATCCAGATATTTACCATTTCTGTTGCTTTTCCTACTAATCCAAGATTTCTTTTGAATTTACTCCCCTAGTATGAAGGATTTCCTTTAACTTCCCCCCCTCCCCCCCTAAAGAGATACTCTAGGCTTGAGTGAGTCTCCTGCCTCAGCCTCCGGTGCTGCTGGGATTATGGGTGTGCATTACCACACCTGGCAACAGCATTTATTTCAGGGCAAATAATGCTGGAAACGATTCTCCTGGTTTTTCTTCACTGCCAATGGTTTGGTTTCATCTCTGTTTCTGTCTAGGTGGCTGCTCCTAGACACCTTTTATTTCGTAGCATCCTTAGGTAGATGCTTTTGCGTTTCTCCCTGGTTTTAGTTTTAATCTTCAGGAGAGAGACTTACACTGCCTTGCTAACCAGGAACAACCTAAATATATCTCTCCAACAGGCTGGGGGTGTAGCTCAGTGGCAGAGCAGTTGCTTAGTGTGCTGGAGGCCCTGGGTTCACAGTACTGGGAGGAGGAAGTATTTCTGTGACAAAATAAGTGCTAAGATCAAAATCAGAGGGGGGGTGCTGGGGCTGGGGCTCAGTGGTAGAGCATTTTCCTAGCACTTGTGAGGCCCTAGGTTTGATCCTCAGCACCACATAAAAATAAACAAAATAAAGGCATTCTGTCCACCTACAACTACACACACACAAAAATCAGAGGGTTCCATGCCATTCTTACCTGTGCCCATTTCCAGTGGCCCAGGAATACTCTTTTCCAATACATAAATAAGCGGATAACTGATTGTGATAAATTCAAGAAATAAGTTTACCCAGCGAATTAGGGATCTTCTGATGTCCCCATGACTGGGATTGCTGCAGTTCCTTTAAACGTCCGTAGCACCCAGTACCTGCACTGCCATGGACTAAGTCACTGCTTACCAAGTCTGTTGCTGCCTGCCTTCTGTCCACTGAAGATTTAAACCTTGAGCCTGAGCACAGTAGCACCTGCTGCACCCCAGGGACATAATAGGTGCTCAAGATGGGGGGCTGGGGATGTGGCTCAAGCGGTAGCGCGCTCGCCTGGCATGCGTGCGGCCCAGGTTCGATCCTCAGCACCACATACCAACAAAGATGTTGTGTCCGCCGAGAACTAAAAAATAAAAAATGTTGGAAATTCTCTCTCTCTCTCTCTCCTCTCCTCTCACTCTTTTTTTAAAAAAAAAAATAGGTGCTCAAGAAATATTCCTTGAGAGAAGGAGTGAATGTGTTGCTCCTGCCCTTGTGATCTCTTACCCTCTTTTCCTTTGCTTATCTCCACAGCACCTCTTACCATATAAAATCCTTGTTATTGTAATTATTGTCACTGGTTTCCTCCCAGCCCTATGGAAGCTGCGGGAGAGCACAGATCTTTGCCTGTTTGACCTGGGCCATGCATGCACCCTGGTAAAACATTCAAGGTACTCGGTGACTATTCACTGAGGGAGAAATCCAAGTCTATCCCTTATCAATAGGTGTGACAAACCTATAACACATAATTCTTGTTAATTCAGGGAGCTTAGCACATGCTGGAAGAATGCAGGACACGGCTGTCTTTCATACCTGGGTTCTGCCACCTCCTCAAGCGGCACTTAAAGGAGACGAAGCCTCACTGCGTACCTGGTGTTAGGAGCAGGGACCAGCACTCCTTCTTTCTGATAACTAGACCCTGGGTCACAGGAGGCTTTTATAACAGCAGCACCTGCAATCTCACAGTCTCATGGCCTTTTCAAAAAAGTGGCTTAGACCTTTTTTACCACAGAGGAAAGGATGAAGTAGATGACAGGGCTTTTCAGCCCAGGATGCCCTTTTTGGGTTTTGAGTTCAGACAGGTCTTGATTCAACCCCGCCTGGCCACTGCCCTGATCAGAGCTTCCTTCCTGGAGTGTGAAGTGCTGGGTGGTATTCCATGGTAAGCACAGTGTGCAGTACACACCTGTTTTGGGGGATGATTATTGTGGTTGGTTAGCTTTCTGTCACTGTGACAAAACACATGCGATAATCAACTTTAAAGGAGGAAAGATTTATTTTGGCTTATTGTTTCATTCAACTGACCCTGTTGCTTTGGACCTGTGGCAGCAGAGGCCTGTTCACAGCATGACCAGGGACAGAAAATGGGAAGGGGCTGGGGTCCCAAGTCTCCTTCAAGGGCCCACCTCACAACAAGCTAGCTTCCTTTCACTAGTCACCACCCCCTAAAAGTGCTAGACTTTCCAATATGCCTATGGCAGGAGGACAGAGCCTTCATCACATGGGCCTTTGAAGATATTTCAGATCCAAATTAGAGCAATTCTGTGTCTCCTTGTGAGCCCTCTGAAACATTATTTTCCTGTGTTTCTAATACATAAACGCTAAGGAACTAAGCTGCTTCAGAAACTGGGTGATAATTAGTGGAATCTTATGGTTGGGGTTAACCCATGCTGAGAACTATTTGGTAATTTCATGAATATGCCTTCCTGCTTTTAGTCTATCGTAGTGACAGTGTCGGGTCACACTTGTCTGTGGTAACTGATCCTCCTACGGGATTTGAGAATGACCTTGAGGTCATCATTCCAAAGGGCAATTTTCAATGTCTAGGACTTACAGATGGAAGAATCTGAGCTCTTTTGAGATGGTCCTGGTCCTGAAATCATATTCTAGGAGTTATGCTTACTATATCATTGTTATTCAATTATTCTAATAAAAGCAGAATATGAAGGAGTGTGATCTACATTACAGTGGGATCATTTAAATATTTGATTATGCTTTTTCCCACCTTGCTTTTCTTTAAGGGTACCTTATTACCTTCTCAGCAATACCTGCTTCTACGCCACAGGCACACTGGGGAGTGTGTGTGTGTGTATGTGTGTGAATGTGCATGTGCGTATGTGTATGCGCCTCCTATTGCTAAGGGTGTGAGGTGCCATGGGCCCCTTGAGCAGGAACAGTGCGACACCATCTTTAGCCCTGGAGAGGAACCTGGAAGACACGGCTTTACCTGGGGATCTTGAACGGAGCCTTCCTGGAGTATCTGAGGCCACAGAGAGTGGTTTGGGAGGGTGGCTCTCCCTGGGAATACTCACCTGGTGAACCTGGAAGGGAAACCTGTCACAATAACACAGCAAGGCCATGTGATGAACACTTTTATTTACAAATATAATTAAAAGCTCTGACAGTTATCATGCTCTTCCTTGGAACCTGAAAAATGTTTTGTTTTTAAAGTGCATGCAAAAGAAGTAAAGCCTTTTTTTTTTCATCATTTTTTATTGTAAGAAAATACACAGTTTGAAAGTGTGAATAATGCAGTATTTATGACCAAGATATGGGACTCAGGAAGGGGAAGGGAAATAAAGAAAAAGGTCAAGATGATCTGACTGAGAGACAGAGTGGAACTCCAAATACTGAATTGGAAAAGAGGGAAGGTGGGGAGGAACAGGAGGAGGAAGTAAAAAAATTTGATCAGAGAAACAGTTAAAATACAATATGAAAATAAGTAATACCTCTCCTTAAATTCCTTCTATACACAAAATACACGATTTGCCAAAGCCCAATTTGTGCTACTGGGATTCTGTGAGCTCCTTAAGTGTATTCACATCCTCTGCAACAGCAGAAAATGGTTATGATACAATCAGAATATGCTGAAGACAAGTTCAACTCTTGCCAGCAGGTTCTTAAAAATCACGAGATCTCTTCACCCCGCCCACCCCCCCAGCCCCAAAAAAGTAATATGTCACCACTGATATGTACATCACAATTAGTTTCTGTAAAATGTATCAAATTTTCAATCTTTAATAAAACTTTGTTTTTTTTTTATTCCTGATGAATAAATACCAAAAAAATAAAATAAAATAAAATAATGCAGCAGCTAGTTAAGGTGTAAGGCTGCGGATATTGTGTCTCTCTCCCCCTTGGCATTTATTATTATTATTATTATTATTATTATTATTTTTTGCTTTACTTTCACAGATTGGTGGTAATGAGTGATTGCTTAAAGCAATATATATCCACTTTTTTGGTGGTAGTGGTTTATTGGTTTTGTTAAAACTGTCTCCATAGTTTTCACTGAAACATTTTGAATCACATCAATACTGTGACGTGTACTATGAATAGAAGAGATGGCCAGACTCTGGCCAGCACTGAAAGTTGACACGGGGGGAGGAAGGGGCCCCTGATGGAGTAAGAATAAACAGGCACTAGTCCGACACGATGTCAGTAAGAGTAAGAGAGAGAGAGTGAGCAACGCCCGTTAAAATGGGGAATGTGGTTTTGCAAGGTTTGAATTTTTTTCTGTTTTCTTTTTTTTTTTTTGTAAATGGCAAAAAATTTAATCTCATCTATAGTCCTCCTTAGGAAAATCTAATGTAACCAAATTCCCAAATCCCATTCTGAGGCTCTCCATGTCAAAAGTTTCAATCTCTCGCTCTTGCCTTTCCAGTAGGTACTTGATTCTCTCGCTGCGCTCCTTCTGCAGGGCGGCCAGCTCCTCTTCAATCTGAAACACAGTAAGGGGCCTTTGATGGAAAGGGCCTCCCAACAGATGCCCACAGGATAAGCAACAGGCGAATGCACGAATGCACGCCCAGGAGGCAAGTGCACCTGGGCCCAGGCTGGGGCAGCCCTGAGGCAGGTGTCTGGCCTAATCCATTCTGCTTAAAACTTGCTGCAAGAATACACATGTTGGGGCGGCCTGGCGTGAGCAGCGCCACCCTACCAGCCCAGCAGCTGGGCGGATCTGGGTCAATGTCCTGTCCTGTCTTAGCAGAAGTCAAGACACTAGAGCACAGATGGTGCTGCTTTCCCACCGTGCACCGGTTGGTTGCCTTTTGGGTCCTTAGATATTTAGTTCTAAGAATTGGAGCTAAAAAAACTGCTGTCTCAGGGAGACACTGGAAGAAAGGGCAAGTAACTTGTTAAGCAACTAGATGCTTCCATATTTGAGGTACCTTGTGACATCTTTCTCCTCCATGCTCCCCAGAATATCTATCTAAAGCACTGAATATTTCAACTGGAATGACGTCCATTATGCGTGGTGGTATCAGCCTGTATTTGTCTTAATTCTTGTTTTAAGAGCCCTGCTGGTGATTTCTCTTGGTTTAAAAACACCCAAGAAGCCAAATCTCGGACTTCCTCATGCCATTTAGCAGTATCCTCTGTGTGTCATGATTACCAGGCAGCAGCCTGTTGGGAAGGCCTGGGGCTTCCTAACAGAGTAGCAGAAGGGCTTAAGCAGTGAGCTCAGACTTCTCAAGGCAGTGAGCTGTTCTGAGCCTTAGAACAGCGTCCTGGCCTGCGGAACGTGGTCCAAGTCTGCCCCCCAGGAAGACCAGCAGTATAATGCAGATCTAAGTGAACATTACTTGGTGTGACCCTTGTGACCAGGGGACTCCATAAACGGCAGGTTCCTGGCCTGCAACCCCTTCCCCAGCTGCACGGCCCCCCCCGTAACTCATACCTTCTGCTCAAGATGTGCTCTGCGCAGAGACACCCTCTGCTCTAGCTTCTGCAGCTCGCGTTCGTGTTGTGCCTCTGTCTGCATCTTGATTTTGCTCTGGTAGGCGTTGAGCAGCTCCATTTCCTGCTGGAGCTGTAGCCTCAAGGCCTGGCATTCTGCTTCTTGAGCCTCATCTAGCCGTAACTGCGGGCACAGAAGACACACACTGTCACACAGCCCCCACTGGCTGCACTTGGGGACTACTGGGAGATGTCTCCTCTTTTTTACTGAAAAGGGTCCCTCAGAAAAACAGATGCCCTGGGTATATTCGGAGATAGGATCAGAGCCAGTGAAATCTGCCCAATGGGCTACAAAGTCCTAAAAACACAGTCTTTTAAATATGGTCTGAAGCCACTGTAGCAGGCATCAGGAAGCTCTTCACGCTAGTGACAAGGCCTATGGATGTGCAGGTGGCATGTCTACACCATCTGATGTCTACACCACCTTTCACTTAGAAATGTCACCTGACCAATTACTTAACCTCTCCAATACTAGGAATGGAACCCAGAGCCTCATGTATGTGAGGCAAGCGCTCCACCACTGAATGCACCCCCAGCCCCTCGCTTCTCCCGCTTCATCACAAGAAAAGAAAAGCAGTTCCTATTGTCTGAGATCGATGTGAGGATTACATGAAAGGATTCGTAAACAATCCCAGGTATACTGCAATCCCAGCAAGTCGGGAGATTGAGGCAGCAGGATGGCAAATTCAAGGCCAGCTTGGGCAATTTAGTGAGGCCCTGTCTCAAAATATAAAAAAATTAAAGTCTGAGGACATAGCTCAGTGGTAGAGCATCCCCGGGTCCTATCCCCAGTACTGCAAAAAATCAACAGATGAATACATAAGCAAATAAATACACACCATCCCAGGTAGAGAATAATCCCAGGCTAAGTAGTCAGTAAGTAGTGTCTGTTGTTATTTTGGTTTTGACAAGACTGTTTCCATATCTGGATATCTTTATCCCCCAAACCATAAAGCCATTTAATATGCTCAGTTCTAAATCAATCAATCTAACATCTATAACACTTGGGACACGTGCCACGGTTCATTTAGGCAATATTGGCGCCTGTTGAGGACTACACAAGTCATCTGGATAGCTGGCCAATAACTCAAGTGGTTCAGAGTTTGTTCCCAAAAAGCATCCTTGCCAATCTTAAGGGGCATAGTCTGATTTGAAGTAACAAAGTCTACATTATAAGGTGGCCTTATAAGTTCCTTTTGATTCCCATGGTATGGAAACTTGGCGTTACACACCAACGTGCCCACATCTTGTGTGGGAAATAGGCGGGCCCGCTCTCAGAAAGGCCTACCCCTCAACCTGAAGAGGGGGAGGTTCTGGGCCATTAGCAGGACTAAATTCAGGGATTTCTTTGCTCTGCCCAAGGCTTGACTTTGTCCAAACATACTGGCCCTTAGTATGGCTGGGAACTTTGAGATCAGAAACCTTTAATGAGATAATCCAGTCTACCCTGAGCTTATCTGCATGTTTCCATACATTTTCTTTTGTTTCCATTTTGCCAAGATATTACTCTCTACCTTATCTACAACTTGTAATAATTAACAATGTCTTACAATCTCCTGGTTGAGAAATGACTTTTTGAAATGTTATTTGCCTACTATCTTCTTTAGTACTTTTGGAGAAATACACTATAGAGATTAAAGCAACCTAAAATAAATTATGCAATTATATTTCCAAGGTACCTTCTAATAATTAATCTTAACCAGTTTTCATTAAAACCCACTAAAGAGGATGGCTCACTCTCTTCTTATTTTCCCAATGCACAGTTGACCTGCAGCAGGAGCAGCCTTCCAAATGAACGCTGAGGAGTTCTGTGGCTCCCAGTGAGGGTAGTTACTGATTCCCTCTTGATATGCAGGCCTCTTACCAGTAAAGGAAATGGAAGCCCTGCTCTTTCCTTCTCTCCCGTTTGAGTTGCTAGAATCCCTGAGCAAGTGGGCGAGAGGCTCATCCTCAGGGCATCTTCTTTGGTTTCTGGTTCTTTATTACTGTCGTCCATAACTATGCTTTGTCCCAGCTCTGACAATGAAAGTCCCTGTGCCAGAAACCAGGGGGACACTCCAGGTTTTGGTATTCATCACCTGAAGCTAAACACACCAAATCCACTAAAAAGTTTTATAAGATTATAGGTAGATATCATGTCTGTTTTCTAAGGTGGCTTCAGTGCAAGAAAAGGAAGACACAGGTGGCAGTATAGTGGGCGCCAACCCCTCAGGCTTACAGGGACCCCTCGAGGGTTCAAATTCTGCCTCCAGCGCTCATTGGCTGCGCTGCTCCCGCCCCAGGGCTGGTGTGCTACCTGAGGGCCACTGAGGCCTTGCGAACAAGCTTCACTAGATAGACACACTCGTTCATTTACCCGGGTCTGGGGTACTTCTGCACTGTAGTGTAGAGTCAGCCAGTCGTGATTGACACTGTGGCCCATAAAGCCTGAGATATTTCCTATCTGCCTCTTTTCAGAAAATGTTTGCCAACTCCTTGTCCTAAGCAGGAGTGGCTTTCCTTTAGAAAACCTCATAGGTGGGCTGGGCTGGGGCTCAGGGGTAGAGCGCTCATCTAGCATTGTGAGGCCCTGGGTTGGATCCTCAGCGCCACATGAAAATAAATAAATAAAATAAAGATATTGTGTCTAATTACAACCAAAAAAAATAAAAAAAGAAAAAAAAAAAGAAAAAAAGAAAACCTCACAGGTAAATTTAGGGTTAAATATTAACTACTTGAAAGGGGTGTCACAAAAATGAAATATTACCCACCCACGCAATACTCAAGACAGCAGGGACAGTGGGATGTGGTCACTAAAAGACAGCTGCTATGGTCAAACCTGCTTTGATCTTCTGTCTCAGGAGAGGGCATTTTTCTCCTTGTAGTCAAGGGCAGTCATGAACCCCTATCCCTCCTCCCCTCCTCTTCCATCTGTGTGACCTGCAGGCACGGGATGTCTGGGGTATGCCCAAGTCACAGAGGCTACTGCAGTTATCAACAAGACAAAACCCCCAAGCTCGCCCCTCCTCCCTCTCTCTACACTCTTCACTTCACACTCAGGTTGAGGTGACCCTTCTGTTTATATGGCTCACAAGGAGGCCTCCGCTGGCCATCACCAACTGCTGGCCATCATGATCCCGTCCTCCCTGGCCTGACTCCTAGCAGCACTGGCTACTGTGGACTTTACCTTTCCTTCTGGAAATCCTTTCTCACCTCCTGAGACACGGCAAACACCCGAGATGGTTCCCTGGATTGATCCCCAGCAGGGCTGGGGGTGAGACCCAGGGCCTCCTGCCTTCTGACTCTGCCACCAGCCATGCAAATGACTCCCACCTTCTGATGCCCAGACCAAAGTATCCAGCCTACAGAGACACCCTCAGGCTCCACACAGCCCAAGTCAACTCATTATCTTCCCTTCCTGCCTCCCCAGCCCTGCCCACTTCCTTTTCAACCTGTAGGTAGCTGGCCATCATCTCTGCCTGTCACTAACTAGGTGCCTCGACTTTCCCTCCTGCCCAGCTCTTTCAAGCTTCACCCCCACTGCTCCTCTCTGGTGAAGCCACCACTCCCTGGTGCCCAGGGAAAAGCAGTGGCATCTAGACAATCTCCTCATACCCGCTCTTGCCATTCTCTACAAGTCACCGAGTAAACATTTAAAAATACAAATCTGGTGCCAGGCCCCTGCTCAATACTCTTCATCGGCGTCCAGCTGCATTTAGAGTAAAGACCAACAGTCTGCATGGGTGCAGGCCCCTACGCCCCAGCCCATGGCCCTGCAGGCTGATTCCCAGGCTGGTCTCCTCCTGGCTCACTACTTTCCAAACACAATGGACGTCTGTGAGTTCTTCAAAAGTGCCACGTTTTCCCATCTTTGCACATCTAAATACTCTTGTCAAAGAGGCCCTTCCCAACTCTGGGCCACCCAGCCTCCTGTTCACACTCCACTGGATTCTTGCACTCACTCTGCTGCTATGGAATGGGCTCTTCAGCCTGGTGTCCTCCACTCTTGGGTAGATTCCATGAGGTCCTGATGGCTATCTCACTCACCCTGGCATCCTGGGAGGCCTGGGGCACAGCCCAGGGAGAACCCACGGGATGGCCCGGTCCCGAGGTCTTCCTTCAGCTCTTTCCCTTTGCAGTGGACTCCCGGCCACTGCTTGCCCTGCAGCTCTTTTCCTTTTCGACCACTGACCAGCCTCTGAGAGGCCGCCTCACACCGTCTGCCTTACCTGCAGCCCTCCTTTCAATGCAGGATCACGTCTCCCACTCCCACTGCTCTGGGGATTGTCTGGGACCAGCAGTGGGTGAGCCCACAGCTTATTATTATTATTATTTTTGTGGTGCTGGGGACTGAACCCAGGGCCCTGTGCAGCGAGCAGGCCCTCTACCAACTGAGCCGTCTCCCCAGCCCCAAAGGTTGGGATTCTAATTGGTCTCTGTGACAGCTGAAATCTTCAGCTAGAACCTATGTCCTGGCCTCTCGATCTCCTCTCTCCTGATCCCCCCTTACGTCGCCGAGTGTTTGTTTCCTTTGGACTGCTTCTATGTAGCTCTTACATGCGGGTGTCCACCAGACTCTGTCCTTGGTCCCCTTTCTCTCTAATTCCATCTGCTGTCCTCAGCAGATCTTATCCATTTCTAATAGCTACCTCTAACCCATTTGGCAAAGATGTCTGTTTTTTTGTCTTTAACCCATTATGTCTTCTCATCCTATCTATGGGACACTTGTAAAAACTTCAATTGAGGGCTGGGGTTGTGGCTCAGTGGGAGAGCACTTGCCTCACACATGGAGGCACTGCATTCAATTTTTAGGATGGCATATAAATAAATGAATAAAACAAAGGTCCACCAATAATTAAAATTAAAAAAATCTTAAATTGAGCAATTTTATAGATGTCTTATAAAATTTTATAGGATGTTGGGACATAATGAGTTAATCCTGATCTCTCTCCTGAACTACAGATTTCCATATTTATATCTTTCTATGGATACCTGCCTGGCTCAGATACCATGTCCACAACTTAGCCAATGACCTCCCCACCAAGGCATCCAAACTCACCCCCTTCTATTTTTCTACCTTGGTAAAGTGATGACTTATTCTAGTCTGTTGTCAAACCTACCTCTCAAATTGGTGACTAAGTTCTCTCTATATGCTTTCTAAATATTTTTCAAATCTTTCTCCTCCTTACCATTTCCCTTAGCTTACCCTCCTTCTAGTTTTTTGAACTCATTTTTGGTTTGGGGACTGCACTTCTACCACTGAACTGAGCCCCAGGCACCATGCTTGGACATTTCCCCCTGGACTACTGAAATAACTTGCCAACAGGTCTCTTTCCCTATATTTGCTGCACGACTGCCACTAGCTTTCTGGCACACAGATCTGATCCTGTTACTTTCCTTCCTAAACAGGCTTCAACAGCTCTCCACTGCTTCTGGAATCACGAGTAGACTCCTGCTCTTGCAGATCTGACTGTGAATCTCCACCTGCTTTCCTTAAACAAGCATTCCACACCATGGCAGGTGCTCACTGCTTCTCAGCTGTGCCACCCTCTGTCGGGCCGGAGTCTTGCATAGACTGTGTCCTCTGCCAGGATTCACTTTTCATCTTCTGCCTGCTTGGTTAGCTAGTACTCTCATAAGACACTTCTCCTTGTGAGACCTTCACTGAATTTCCAGGTTCGCTCCATCCCTGGCTTAAGGACCTTTACCACCTTCCTTTTTGGGTTCCCATAATCCCCCTTCTTGAACTCGGGGCCCACCTTCAAGTTCAGGGAGTGCCCCAGATGTACTTTCCATTGTTTGGATCTGTGCCTATCTGGGTTTCTTTGTGGAACCTGCTGGCTTCAGTGACTTCCACTGAGCCCTGGCTCCCATAGGGAGACTTTCCCTAGACCAGATTCCTTGTTCCTACTTGTCCTCCCTGCCCTCTAGCACCTCCCACTTCAAAGCACTCACTATGCTTTATTATTATTGCTTAATTATCTGACTTCCTGGCTCCATGACAGAAGGGTGAGGACAGAGACCCATTGTCTATCTGGCTCATCACTCTATCTCTGAGCCCAGCAGAGGGCTGGACACTGAGGTTTAGCAAAAGTTTATTGAATGAACGTGTCTGTGTATCTGTCTTCCTCACTTGACTGTGAGCTCTGTTAAGACTCTGTTAAGACTCTATTCACTGGTGCCTGGTATCGTTGGGGGTGCTGGTCAGTAATCTCTGATGAATGGACACAGGACATCATATGCGGTATCTATACCATCTTGCCCTCAAAGACCCTATGTGCCACAGGTCGGATTCAGCATGTCATTTCTTGAGCTCCAGCTTATAAGATACACTCCAGCAAGTATCCACAGGGGCTTGGCTTTATTCAGCGTCGTCATTTCCTCATTTCTTTGGGCAGAAAAACACCCAGATCCTAAATTTGTGCATCCTGGGAACCAAAGGCTGGATCTTGACTTTTCTTGAATCCCAAAGCTCTTGAAGTTGTGGCACCCAACCTAACCACTTACCGCTTGAGAGGCCATCATTTCATTTATACTCTGTTCATACTGCTCTGCCAAAATGGCAAGTTTTCTCGTCTGCTCATCTTTCAGTGTCTTTAAGATTGTTTTGTGCTCATTCTTTGGAGTAACTTCCAACTGGTGATTCTTGAGTGCTTTATACTGTTTGGTCTGTACTTTGCAAGTGTCCTGAAACTGTTTTTTAATTTGCATTTCCATGGCCTGTTAGAAAAAGTGACAAAGGGAAAATAAAGATGTGTCAGTGAAAACAGAAAGTTTCTGTTATGATGATACAATACAAGGGCCAAGGCTATCTGTCTTTTGGTGCTGTGACCAGCAATGCTGGTCCACAATCATGAAAATAACGCAGACAAGGGCAAACTCTAAGAAAAAAAAAAAAAAAAAAGCAAACTCTACCAGTGCTTCTGTGTTTATAGTAAATGGATAGAAATAATTTTGGATTTGCAACTGACCTCAAAGAAAAAATGAATTATAATAAGGGGGTAGCAATTCTAAGTAGATTGCAGAATATTATGGAGCTCTGCTTGTTAAAAGGTTAGCCATTATTTTTATGGTTTCCCATCCAAGTATTTAGTGTTTCCTATCATGTGTTGTTTCTTCCTCTTATCCTTTTTGAGTGTGTGTCACATAAGCCATGTCCCCATTTCCAAGTGTGAAGGGGGTGATGTGATATAACCCGCTCCCTCCACCAGTCAATGAAGGAGGACATCTTCGCATCTCAGCCTGTTTCCACTGTACTTCAATATGAACTGAGAGAACAGTGATTGTGGGCCTCCCTGCCCCCCATTAAGAGGTTGTGCTTACATGTGGCAGTGTCAAATTTGTACTCTGGCCAGGAGACCAGGGGATGTACTATTAAGGCCAGAAGGCATTCCATCAGCTGCCCCCATAGTCACGTGTGCTTTTTATGAACACTCTGAAGACTTATGGTGACAGGGATCACTAATTAGATAGTTTAGGATTTGGCTAGAAGAGGCACATGGCCAGTGTGACTGAGGTTGGCCTCGTGTCTGTGCCAATGTTGACAGTGTCCTCTGTGACACGTACCAATGGCTTAGTACACAGAGCTTGTTAATTAGCAGGCTGCTAAAATTAGCAAGAGGCGGGCTAAAGGAGTTCCTCCTATCCCTGGTGTGGCGCAGGGGCAGTGAAGGCCTGGCACCAGTGGATTCCATTCTGATCCCCATGCTCATGCCAGCCACCTCTGACAAATCACACTCTCCTACTCAGTGGGAATGTGGCTTCAGGGTCCTTCTCAGGTGTACAGCAGCTCTCAAGGTAGTTACTATCAATATAACTCTGTCTCCTGGAATTAGAATCATGGGCTGCTATTCATCCAAGTTTAGAGAGGAAGGTCATGCAGAATTCAGGGAAATGACAGAGCAGAGTAAAGGGAGAAATCAAGAGATCACGGAGTACGGCGGTTACCAAAGCAGTCTGCAAGATACAGATGCCGGGGCTTTGCATCTGGAGATTGTGACTTGGGTGTGGGGCCCAGAAACGGGAGACTGCCAGTCATCCAGGTGTCCTTGGAACCACTGGTCCTCCAACTCTGTCCCGGGGCTTACGCTAATGGGAAATGCTCTCTCCTCTTACCTTTAAGTTTTTTGGCTGCTGCCGGAGTTCCATGACGTGCTTTCTGTGCAGCTCCCGCTCCCGCCTCTTATTGTACTCCAGCTGGTTCTCCAGCTCAGTCTGGTGCTGTAGCCGGATCAGATCCATGCGCAGCTTCTGCAGCGTGTGCAGCTGCCTGTACTCGAGCTCTCGGGTGGACTCGTCGTGCCGGATCAGCATGGCATGCTCCATCTCCTTCTGCGTCCGCTTTTTATTCAGTTCCTGTGTTCAGGAGCAAACAGTAAACAGTAAACGGAGAGAGATGAGCGGAGAGGGACTGGAAGGACTGCGAACTAAGGGAGGGATGGCAAAGATGGCACCGCCCGGCCCTCGGGGAACCTATCAGTGTCTGCGGAGGCAGGACTCAATGGGAGCGGATGAACAATCCCTGCAGCCTTAGGCTGTGCTGCTGGGTTCACTGCTTACCAGGCCGGCAACTTGCTAGCAGCCACCACTGTACTAGCTGTAAAATGGGATCGGTTCTACCTGACGCCCTCTTACTTTGCTGGGACCCTTAATTAAGCGACATGTTTGTTTAGATCTAAATAAATGTTCCTTCAGTTAACCTTCTGGTTCTGCACCTGGCTGCCCATTAAAATCATGTGATGAAGCTGTTCAAATATATGATGCTTAAAACCTGAAATTCTGATCATTCTCTGGGGTGGGATCCTGGCCTCAATTTTTTTCAGGGGGGGCTCTGGGGACTGAACCCAGGCGTGCTTTACCACTGAGCTACATCCTCAGTCTTTTGAGACAGTGCCTCACTAAATTGCTAAGGCTGGCCTCAAACTTGTGATCCTCCTGCCTCAGCCTCTTGAGGAGCTGGGATTACAGGCCTGCACCACTACAAGTCACCTGACCTCAATTTTAAAGACTTTTCCAGGTTACTCTAGTATGCAGTCAGTGTTGAGAAACTTGATTAAATGGGTATCTTCAATGTTCCTAGTTTTCTGGGAAATACCCAGTTTTTGTACATGTCAGAAGTAGGCCAATTATCTATTTTTTAAAATCTGAGTTTTAGGGCATGCTGGGACAAAGCAGAGAAGAGCTCTTCCCTTTCATCTTTTCCATTACAGTCTGTCTGATTGTTGTTGGTTCTAATCACTCTGTTCTCTCAGCTCTGCTCATGCCTGTCTGTCTCTTCATCTTTCTTTCCTCCCTCCCGCCTTTCCTCCCTGTTGTTGAAAGGAGGAAGGAAAGCAAACTAAAAAAAAGGAAATTGGGCAAATTTTGTTTTCTTCATTTACCAATTCAAGACTATTTCCTAAATGCACTATATACAAACACCTGAACCATGTGCTCTGGGTACATACAGATGTTTACCAAGCCATGACTTCTATCCTCATCTGGCTGACACTCTGAGAGGGAAGTGTTATAGGCATTCATTGAGGGACACGCGTGGCTCACAGCTGACGAAATCACAGCGGGGCCCAACTTGTGCCCGTTTCTTTTCTCTTCTAGGAATTTGGAGTTGAGGTTCAGAGCCTGTTAATCTCTGTGGGAGGCCAGAATTGAGGGTCATATAAAGACGACAGATGTGGTAGTTGTCTGCTGCTATGAGGATTGAGGATTAGAGAAATCTGGGTTTCAGAGGAAGAATTAAAAAGAAGACAGGCGTGCAGGGAACGCAGTCATGCTCAAGTTCCTGACGGTCCCGGAACTGCCTTGAGTCCACCTGTGTCACCGCTGCCGAGTTTGATGAGATATTCCTATACTTTGATAATAAATTTCCTGGCTTTGGCTTAAGCTAGTCCAAATAAAATTTCAGTTAACATGCAAAAAATAATCTTAATACAGGGAAAACACTTTTATGTGTAAAAAGAAAGGTTGGAAGTGATGAGGGCTAGGAAAGAGGTCAAGATTTTCTATAAGATTTCTGAAGAGGGGAGTGAGTTATTAGCTAAGAAGATCAGGAAAAGAAAGCGTTGACTCTCCTCTTTGTTGGCATACCCTATAGGGGAAAATGCAACTCCTTTATGTTCATAAAGCATCAGAAGATGTATGCATTGGTGTAGAGAGAATATCCTGCACACTGGGCCTTCTATTCATTGGAAGGGAAGTCCTTTACAGCCTCTAGAACCCGAGCACAGTCACAAATCATTCATTTGTTTCTTCAACAAGCATTTGTTGAGTACCTACTGGGTGTTGGGCACCACTGTGGGCACTGGTGACAGAGCTGGGAAAAAGCAGCCCCCTCGTGGGGCTTATTTTCTAGCGTATAAATACCCAAAGTATGCGCACCATTTAAATTTGTTTCAAAGAAGTTGAAGTCTCCCAGATCATCACTCCCAACCTCCTGATTTTCTTTTCTCTGTTTTGTTTTTCTTCTTCCTCTGGACCCCCAACCAGATTTCTCATTTTAGATCAGTAACTGGCCCCTAGGGGGCACCAAAGCCAGTGAGCTCTCCTACAGACTGGAGCTCTCCAGGACTCAGGGCCAAGAGAATGCCCAAGAAAACCTCTGTTCCAGGCGTCCCAATATTGAGCATTTACAGACCCACAATTTCCTACATTGTTAAGTCCAAACTGAGTTTGAGCTGCCCCTGCCCTGAAATTTATGGGGACATGGGCGGGGATAACAAAGCAAATGAACACTTTTAGAGGATGGGCTTTTCTCCATCTTTAATGGAAGGATTCAAGATACCTGCAAATACCTGCATCAGAATTACCTGAGTTATAAGTGATCTATAAGTAGCTACCCAGCTAATTCTGACTTATCTTAAAGTTTGGGAATCCATGGGAAAATGCTCAGGGTGTGACTCCACTCTTTACCTATGGCTTTGGGCAAGTGTCTCTTTTTGGTACTGGGGATTGAGCCCAGAGGCACTTAATCACTGAGTCACATCTCCAGTTCTTTTTAGTTCTTATTTTGAGACTGGGTCTCACTAAGTTGCTTAGGGCCTCACTGAGTTGCTGAGGCTGGTCTCAAATTTGCAATCCTCTTGCCTCAGCCTCCAGAATTGCTGGGATTACAGGTATGTGCCACTGTACCAGGCCTTGGACCAATCTCTTAATCGACATGTTAGCATCTTCAGGAATAGATCGAGGATCACAGGCCCCACCATGCATTATTAGGCATGTAAAAGTGAAAGGAAAAATCATAAGAAAATGCTTCAGAATACATAAATATGTCTTTTTTCTGTATTCAGAAATAAATATTTGGCATTTAATATCTTAAATCTAGTTTTAATAAACTATTCAAAGAATGAGAGAAACATGATACTGACTATTATCTTTGATTTGTATATCTGAGTTGCTGGGGTGTAAATGGTAAGCTCCCTAGAACACTTCAAACCATGGAAAAAACATTATTAATCATTCATCTTATTTTGAATCCTGTGCCTACATAATAATGTGTAATGTGCCTTCAATATTTTAAAAATTGGAGTCTCACTGTGTTGCTCAGGTTGGTTCAAACTTCTGGACACTAATGATCTTCCTTGTTCAGCACTCTAAGAAGCTGGTACTACAAGCACATGCCACCACGCTGGGCTCTCAATTTTTAAAAATCATTTCACGTACCTTTTTTTTTTTGTATGGGGGGGTGGGTACCAGGGATTGAACTTGGGGGCACTCAACCACTGAGCCACATCCCCAGCCCTATTTTGCATTTTATTTAGAGACAGGGTCTCACTAAGTTGCTCAGCACCTCGCTGTTGCTGAGGATGGCTTTGAATTTGTGATCCTCCTGCCTCAGCCTCCTGAGCTGCTGGGTGCACCTGGCTTATTTCACATATCATTTAATCCTAACTTCAACCTCATGAGGCAATAACCTTGCAAAGAGTTTAGATGGCATAAAAGGCATTTGGGAAGGCATGGAGGGCCTATCATAAGGTCATACAACTTCCATAAAGTAAAATTAAAGCTAAAACTCAGGTTTTTAGGTTTATAAACATTTTCCAGGTGATCCTGCCTGCCAAAAGCACTCTATCTGCCCTGGAGGGAGTGCAGGGTGAGGGACAAGCGGCTCCCTTTTCCTCAGCCTTTACCCCACCATGACAGCTCACCAAGCTCAGGGCTGACAGACATGTCCCTCTCATGACACAGCTGCTAAACACAAGACCCTCTTCCTGTGCGTCTACCTGCTGGGTGAGACGTGGCTCTGGGCTGCTCCCTGCCTTTCCCTCGGCTGGAACTGCGTCCAAGCACTTTATTCTAAAGTCCCAATGGAAGTGGTGTGGCTTCTTTAAAAGCAGTGGATCTCTTTATCCTCATGGCTACTGAGACTTGAGGAAAAACTAGACTCAGACATTCAGACGAACATGCTGTTAGCCTCTGACGTTCAAAGTTTTTCTCAGGTCCAGCCCTTTGTTTGACACCTGGAGGCAGAGGGTGAGCATCTGTGTGTGGTAGAGAGAGAAGAGGCTCAACCCAGACTGTGGTGATCCTTTCACGTTTCAATTAGTTGAGGCAAAGATACAGGAAAACAGGCACTCTTCTGCTCTGTGGTGGGAGCATGCAGCCTTTAGAGGGCAATTTGGGGATATTTATTTAAAAGTTCAGGTGTATTCATTCTTTGATCCAGAATTTCCACCTCTGAGACTACATCTACAAAAATACTTGTATATGTTCAAAAATATGCACAAAGATATTCTCTGTGGCATTGTTAGCAATATCGTAACATTTTAAACAAAATGCCCCCTGGGAAGTGCCTCACAAAGTAAATGACCATGTGGCCAAACAACAAAACACTGTGGGGTTAAAGAGAATGAGGCAGCGCTATGTGCTCGACAGTAAGTGGCAACAGAAGACAGGGGGATAGTGGAGTGGACGTCTGCTACTTTTCTGCAGAGAGTGTCGCAGAAGGACTGGGCACACCACCCAATCTAGTTCTCTCTCCTAGGAATCTGAATCATGTTCAGAAATGATCCGAACATTAAAAAAATGGAGATACGGCCACATGACGGTGCCCTGAGGAGTGTCCAAGAGCTCCTGCCCTCTACAATGAGGAAATTGCTTTTCCATGGTGATTCTTGAACTTTCCCAGCTTTGTCACCTACCCCATTTCCTTCTGGTAAATTCTTTTCCATGCTTAAGTCAGCCAGAGTTTGTTTCAATTGTTTGCAAATCAAAAAATCCCAATGATATATAAGCTGTATGGCATGGGCACCCGAAAAAAAATCTGAAATAATATATGCCAAATGAAGGATTGATTGTCTCAGGGTACATACTGGGTAAAATGAGATTATCAAAAAGGGGAAAATGGGGTGATGTTAGTGGAAGGGTACAAAATTCCAGTTATGCAAGATAAATATTTTCTGGACATCTACTGGACAATGGTGACAATGGTTAGCAGTCCCGTGCTGCATACTTACCATTTGCTGAGAGGATGGATCTTAAGTTGAATTTTATGAACGCGCAGGCGCGCACACACACAGTAACTATGTAGAGGCAATGAGTATGTTAATTAGCTCGAATGTAGTGATCCTTTCACACTGTGTATATATATCAAAATGTCAAATTGTATACCTTAAATATATATACGTCTTGTACATCAGTGATCTCCCAGTAAAACTGCTAAAAGGACTTACTACTGAGCTTTATATATTTCTGTATGTCTTTTTCTCAATGTCCTTTTATTACTTTTACAGATAGAAAAACTTTGAACATTTTCATGAAAGAGGCTCTGGAATAGGACTAAATAAAGGAAAATCTGGACTTCAAGAAAAATAACCTTATAGAGCTGATCTTAGCTCAGTTGGTCAAAACCCGATATGGATGAAGTCACGAATGTAGTTTGTATTATTTTAGGGGAGTAATTATCTTCCATAGCTTTTTTTTTTTTAAGATTTATGTGATTTTTTTATACCTTTATTTTATTTCTTTATTTTTATGTGGTGCTAAGGATTGAACCCAGCGCCTCGCACATGCTAGGTGAGCATTCTACTGCTGAGCCGTAGCCCCTGCCCTTCTATAGCTTTTATTGATGGTAATTGTCCCCATAGCCTGAGACTTCCTCCTATATGTGCTATTAGAGTAACGATAATTAAAGAAACCCAAATACTTTATTTCTGAGTGGCTACTGGACTTATTCATTTTGACTTTTTGACTTCTGACAAGTTCAAATGTATTAGAAGAATCCATTTCTTACTAAAATCTTTCTTTTAGCATCTCTGTTTCTACTCAGATCTACATTTCTCCAAGTCTTAAACTCTATAAGTAACTCTGAGTCCACCTCCCTCTTTTCTCTCAAGTCTTACTTATTCTGTACTTCAAATTGTGTTTCAAATCTACCTTTCTTTGGACACCATCGACAGCCATGTCCACACCCTATTTCCCATCACTCCACTCTCTGCTCCTAAGTCTTTCCCCTGTGATCCCAGGATTTGTCAAACTTACATTCCATTATTGCCCCCATCGGGAGCCTTTCTGATTTTTTTCCCCTTTCATTATTCCTATCCTGAGATGAGAATTCCACAGAACCCCTTTGTGTCTGTGCATGTGGGCTACAGAGGACTGCAAGCCATCCTACATGTCAGTTGTTGCCCCTGACTCATGAGATTGTGATTAATCTGTTATATGTCCGTGTCTCCTAGATCCATTCAGGACCACTCGAAGGCAGGAGTATAGCTGCTTGGTGGCCCTAGTGTCTGCCCCAGTGCCTAGCATAGAGCTGGAAGTGGAGGATGACTGAATGAATCAACTTGAGAACATCGTGCTATCATTTGTGTTTCCTGTGGAATCACAGAAATACAAGTCTTTGACAAGCAGGCAGGAAGCAAAAATTCTCTTTCTACTTCTTTTGATTCTTCACTGTGTGACATGTCTCATAATAGGTGTTCACTAAAATTCCATTTCATTTACTAAGAAAAAATCCATTTCTTGTTTTACGAATTCGGCTTTCTCTTATCAATGGGAAACACATTCCCTGACTTGTGTTGCACGCTTGCTCTGTGTCAGGCTGTGCTAAAGGTGAAGGACATGGGAATGGATAAAACAGACAAGGTCACCACCTCAAACGACCTCCTGCCTCCCGAGCCAGTGCCAATAGTTATGAATGTGACAAATACCTCCCGAATGTTTTGCTGCTCCACCTCGTGCCGCTTGGTCATTATTTTCCGCTTGAAGAAACGACAGTTTTTGTCGTAGTACAGTCTCTGCTGAGTGAGAAGGTGGGCTTCCTCTTCAGCCTGCGTGTGCTGCAAGTTCTCCTTATGCTTGGATATCCGCTCTTGCTTTTCTTTCTTGGGTGTGCTGTGGTCCTCATTCATTTCCTTTAAAACACAAAAACAAAAAACGAACCCAAGTGGGTCTTGTGAAAGGGACTATATGACATCTTACTGCAACTGCAGATGCAGCTGTTTGTAAATCAGAAGACACAGTATGGGAAGGCTTGGCGAGGCACATCCCCGACTCCAGTTTTTAATGATTTGGATCCATTCGTTGAGTGTGAAGTGAGAGGGGCCCTTGTGAGGTGTCCTATCTCTTGCTTCTTTTTCTCAGCAGTATTTGTTCCCTGGCCAGTCGCCACACACTCATGTAGCCCCTCTCAGGTGCCAGGCCCCAGGGCGCAAGGGTGAGCAAAAGACCACGGTGTCTACTACCCGGGGACTCCAGTCTAGAGCTGAAAACTGACTAGAGAACCACAGGAATGGACTGAAAATCACCAGGAGAACTGCTGTGAAGAGGAAGAACTTGGTCCTTTGAGAAAGTGTGATGATGACTATTTAATTTCAGTGACCACCAAGCTGAAATTTGAAAACTGGGAGGAGCTAACCAGTGCAAAAGGAGAGAGGGGAACACCTGGGTAAGGGGACAGCCTGAGCAGCCCCTAGGGTGGGAGGCCAGGGTGCTGGGCGCAGTGTGCTGAGGCAGGACCTTGCGGGCCTGGCTGAGGGCCGAACCTCAGCAGATCGTCCATGTGGGGGGGGTGTCCTGGTGGAATGCACTTCAGAGGGATGGTTCTGGCTGTCAGGTGGAGAGCAGATTGAGGGAGACAAGAGTCTGAATAGCCCCTAGTCCATGGGGACAGCTGGGGGCTGCTGCTGCCCAGACTCAGGTGAGGGAGAGAGGTGGGCGCAGGAGAGGGAGGAAGAGAGAGAGGAAGAAGGGGAAGAGGAGAAGGAGGAAGAGGAGTGGGGGAGGGGAGCTGCCACTGCTTGGACAAAGGAGGTGGTGACAAGACTGAGGGAGGTGGGCAGATTCCAAAGACAAGAGGTGACTGCATCACTAGTTTTCAATCTCAGGAGAAAGCATGATTCACTTGGGATTAGAGGATAAAGAAATCACCTGTATTATTTTAGTTGTCCATGACCTTTATTTTTTTTTTAAACATATTTTTGGTTGTTGGTAGAGTTTTATTTTATTTATTTACCGTGGTGCTGAGAATCGAACCCAGGCAAGTACACTACTGCTGAGCCCCAGCCCCAGCCTCTCGACTTTATATTTTTAAAAAATACTTATTTTTTAGTTTTAGGTGGACACAATATCTTTATTTTTATTTTTATGTGATGCTGAAGATTGAACTCAGGGCCTCATGCATGCAAGGTGAGCGCTTTACCGCTGAGCCATAACCCCAGCCCCTTGACCTTTGTTTTGTTTATTTATATGTGGTGCTGAGAATCGAACCCAGTGCCTCACACATGCTAGGCAACCGGTCTACCAGTAAGCCACAACCCCAGTCCTCATCTGTATTTTTGAAAGGGAAAAATTCATGATTTTTCTAGAAGATGTGAGCAAAGGAAAGAAAGCAGTGAATCAGAATAGTTAAGATGTTAATCTGGGGCTGGGTTGTGGCTCAGTGGCAAAGCACTTGCCTTGCATGTGTGAGGCACAGGGTTTGATTCTCAGCACCACATAAAAATAAAGATACTGTGTGTTTATCTACAACTAAAAAAAAAAAAGATGTTGCTCTATGACAAAGTAAGAAGACTACTTTAAAAGTACAGTGTACTCTTCTTTGTTCGTATGAGCAGCTTGACCTATATTTGGCTAACTACTCACACAGCTAAACTCTCCTAATTGCTAGCACCTATTCTACTTAATGTTTCATGACACGGGCATCACATACTATTCAGATTGTTTTACCCTTAGCCAAGAAGGTTTCGAAAACTGGCTCTCGCCTGTGCTGGTCCAGTGAGGCTTTCAAGTTTCACTTAAAACTCTAAGAGAAAGCTGTTTCCAGCTTGGAGCAGCCTGGGCCAGCAGGGAGGCTGGGTGACTCATCTTTCCACACCCTGACTTCACTATGAGGTTTGGCATTAACCATTGGTTTGTACACCTCAATTCAAATATCACCATAAAAATTCACTCCCAAATCATGGATATCAACCAGCATCCTGTTTTACTCACAGCCCTTATCATCAATAATTGAGAAAAGGGAGACGGCTTTGCCATTCCAAGGATAATCCTTTCAAGTATCTCAACATCTTTATATATATATATATATATATCCCTTTAAGTACTTTGAACTAAGCTTTACTTCATAAGGTGTAATATTAGCTTTGCACAGAAAGATCTACTGAAGCTCTCTCCAATTGGATTTCACCCTGGGTTTCCACCTTCAGGAGCACACTGAGACACTTAGGAAGTTTAGGCCTGTGGTCCCTTGTGGAATCTGAGTATGGTGAACCAGGAATAGCCTGGAGATGGGGTGGGACCTGGGACCCCCCCCACCACACTCAATACTCCTGCCTCAGCTTCCCAAGTGCCTGGGATTATAAGCAAATGCCACCCAATCAGGTTGAGTGGGGCCTCTGTTCTGTGGGAGAATCTCCTAAAGGTAGGATTCATGCAATCTCCTAGTATCTCAGAGTGACAAAAGCTCAAAAGGGTGGTTGCAGTTGGAAAACATGGCCTCCGAGGCACCAGCAAACACAGAGAGTTAGATTATTTCTATTCCCAGTTGAGAAGACCTCAAGAGTTTCTTATTGAGAAATCAGGGCAAAATGAATGAACGCATCTGCATTACACACCACAGGGAATGCTCTATGCAGGGGCTTAGAGCGTACCTGTGATGTGTAATGCAGATGCATTCATTTTATAAATCAGTGCATGTAGATCCTTAGCACAGTGCCTGGCACCTAGAAAATATTCATTAAATGCTAATTTCAATAATTGTTGTTATCCTAAAAATAGTAATGCATAGTGCATTACTAAAAACTACTGTTTTTAATTAAAAACTACTGTTAACCTATGGAGACTCCTCAAAAAACTAGGAATGGAACCATCATTTGACCTATACCACTCAAAGGACTTAAAATTAGCATACTACAGTGAGCCACATCAATGTCTATAGTGGCTCAATTCATAACAGCTGAACTATGGAACCAACCTAGGTATCCTTCAACAGATGAATGGATGAAGAAAATGTGGTATATATATATATGAAATGGAGTATTACTCAGCCATAAAGAAGAATGAAATTATGGCAGTTGCCAGTAAATGGAAGAATCTGGAGACTATCATGCTAAGTGAACTAAGCCAATCCCCCCAATCCAAAGGTCAAATGGTCCTGATGCACAGATGCTAACATACAATAAGAGGGCAGAGAGAATAGAAATTCAGTGGATTAGACAAGGGGGAATGAAGGGAAGGGAGTGGGGATAGGACTAGGAAAGATAGTGGAATGAACTGGACAGAACTTTCCTATGTTCACATGTGAATGCATAATCAGAGTAACTCCACATCATGTACAGCCACAAGACTGGGATCCTAATTAGAGTAAGATGTACTCCATATGTGCATAAATACATCAAGATAGACTCTGTCATGTATGACTAAAAAGAATAATAACAACAACAACAATGACAAAAAGAAAAATCAAGGCAGGCTCTGTGCTCCAGAAATATCCTTCAGTTATAATAACAAGCCAATCACTTGGAGAAAGTGGAGCGAATGTGAACTTTCTTCATTGGACTATTTGTCTATACCCCAACTTTCTAGACCTGCTGGTTCCAGAGATTCTTCTTGGACAGCCAGTGTGGATCAGAGACAATTTTCTGTCAGGCCCAAAAGTGACCAGAGGCTTACCTGGGCAGGGCATAAGATCCTGAGGCCCACTCCCAAGCCTTTTGCTTTCCCTTTCTAATTGAAAAAGAATTGGAGAGGAGCCTTGGTAAGTCCTGTATTGTTAATCTACAAATCAGAATATGAGGGCAATACATGATTTCATCTACTAAAGAATCGCCCTGGGGGAGCTGTGGTTGTGGCTCAGCCATAGAGAGCTCGCCTAGCATGTGCGAGGCCCTGGGTTTGATCCTCAGCACAACCTAAAAATAAATAAATAAATAAATAAATAAAATAAATGTATTGTGTCCAACTACAAATGAAAAATCAATATAAAAAAGAAATTCCTCATATTATATTTAATTAAACCTTAATACATTAAGTCTACAAATAAAAAATCCTAAGTCATATGATAAGGAAAGTCTATCTAACTGCAGACAATTCACCTGTAAGGACTGATAAAGGGAGAACTGAAGAAATTTGAGCATTCAGCTGAAATAGGAGTTCACTGTGCTGAGTTCACTGGCGGTCTTCAACCAACAGGTCCAGAATCATTCATTTCTTTGTCCAATGCTCACATGTACTGCCCACAGGGATACAGTTGTGGGCAAAAAAGGACTTCCTCTCTTTTATGACACTTACCAGCTAATGGTAAGGAACTCAAACGATCATTAAAAAATACTTAAAAGGGCTGTGGCTGTGGCTCAGTGGTAGCGTGCTCACCTAGCATGTATGAGGTACTGGGTTCGATCCTCAGCACCACATAAAAATAAAGACAATAGTGATGCAGCCACATCATTGTTTATAGTGGCTCAATTCATAATAGCTAAGCTATGGAACCAACCTATTTACTAAAAAAAATATTAAAAGAAAATACGTAAACACTCTGGTGTTATGAAACCAGAGATATCTGTCTTGTTTGGGGTGAGGCAGGTAGGAAGATCTTCCCAGGGAAAGTGATATTGAGTGAAGGTCCTTATAATCAATCTTAAATCTTACGAGGAGGAGGAATAGGAAAGGATAGATACGAACTGTGGCTGGGGAGGGCTTGGGGTAGGGAGGGGCTTTGTATGTTTGAGGAACTGAAAGGTGACTACTGTGGGTGGAGTAGCCAAGTGCAGGGCCACAGTGGGGGAAGCAGGGCAGGAGCTGACTCCTCTAGCAGGCCACTCAGGGACTTTGACCGTGGTGATCTGTCCTAATAACAATGGGATGCCAGGGGACTAGAGGCCCTGGGGTAATAAGCCTGGGTTTGAATTGGGAAAAGACCCCTGTGGCTGCAGCGTGGAGGATAAGCTGGAAGCAGGCAAGAACGGTGTCCAGTGGCCTCAGCATTGTGTGGGGACCTGTTACAACATGCATTTTCAAACTTCACTCCAGGCCCACTGAATCCAAAAATTTACAAGTGGGGGTTAGCTATTTCTTTTAATAAGCATCGCAGGTGATTCTAATGTCAAGTGTGAGCTGGATGAGAATATGCCCATCACAAGGCACATGAGTGATTTTTTGAGTCCCCAACATTTTAATGGCAATCTGGTGACTAAAACACTGGTACCCTTACCTCTTTTATTTTTTCCTTACAAATCTTATACTGCTTCTTCTGACTTTCTAAGAAAGTTGTCAAATCTTTCTTCTGCTGGGCCAAGATCTGTTGCTGGAACTTCTTCTCATCTGCTGCAGCTACCTTTGCCTGAGAAAACAACAAAGATGCCTGTTTTTCACACAGAATTCAGATGTCTACATTCCCCAGTGCAGGAAGAGTCCAACATGCTGAATAATGTAATATTTTGAACAAATAATTAATAAAAAATAATGGCTTCTGTGATTTTCATATCTTAAAAAATTTATCACTAAAAAATACATTCCCAATTATGGGAAAAGTATGAAGGTTGGACCCATAAACATGTTTTATTGATCACAAAAACATTCATGGAACTGAAAGAAAACCAAGAATTATAATAAAGGATTTTTATCACATTGTTGGCAGCCCAAGGGTTAAATTTAAAAATGGATAAATAACCATGATTTATTCTGAGAATCAAATGCTAACCAATTAATTATTCCAATGATCAGATTCCCTAGTGGGATCATCTCAAGTATATAGGAAGGCTAATGACATTTTGTTTTCTTAGGTACCTGCTATGATCCACAACAGTCAGGCATGTGGCATTTGGGGTGGGGGCAGGGGGTGTCCTACATGTATAAAATACAGACCATACGAAAGGTCACCCAACCAATAGTGACTCCTGAAGGTAACCAAATCTAAGTTTCGGAGAGCCCTCCAGATGAAGTATGTGGAAGATGGGGAATTTAGGAGACAGGAAATTAGGCTTCATGATTCTTTTCATACATCTTTTCACCTTTAGCTTCCATTATCAAAGATCCTTCCATTAGAAACAATTCTTGACACACATTTGCCAAGTCAAATTCCCAAGAAAGAATCTGACTGGTTTATTTAATCGACATCACCCCTACTTGGGCCGCTGGGGAAACGCTCCTTCCACATGGAGAGGCGGCTTAATTGCTGAAGTGCCCTGGCACTGTGTGCTCCATTGCCAGGGCGTATATGTCCGCCCCTGCTTCTCCACAGCAGCTGAGTCTCATGGGGGCAGGAGAGGAGGGGACCCGGTTTTAGCTTTGGCAGAATCAGTCATCTGAATCTTGTTCATGTCACTAGGCCCATTTTTCTGCAGACATAAAACCTTTCTCATATGGAACACTTATCAGTACAAAGGTGATACTTTGACTTTCTGCTTGTGTTACCCTTTTGTCTGTTTTAAAATTAGCTTAGAGGAGCTAAGGGTGTAGCTCAGTGGTGTAGCTCATATTTAGTGTGTGTGAGGCCCTGGGTTTGAGTTCCAGCATCATCAAAAAGTAATAAATTAAAATAATTAATTTAGCTTAAAATTTGCATAAGGAAGGGAGGTGCCCTCTAGAAAACCCAAATCTTGGCTAGATGAATCTCTTGCCACCACTGGGAGGGTGTCCATCCTGAGTGCATCAGCTACTGGCAGGGACTATCCCCTCTAAATAGGACCATTTGAAGAGAACTGGACACAGCAGGTACAGGACCAAACCTGCTGTGAGTCCCCAGAAGGGAGTGACAACCTCTGGGTAGAGATACACCAGCAAGGACGTATTTGAATGAGTTTTCAGATAGTATTTTATCTCCGAATGAGAACTTTAAGTAGCATCTAGCAGCAATCCTGTTCCCCCTGACCCGAAGGTGCCCCTTAGGTACCCTGCTCCTGCTCCCCACTGACTGGGACAGTCAGGGCTTGGTGAGGGCGCGGGACACACACTGACCTCCTTTTCTATGATAGCCACTTGCTTCTTGGCCAGCTTCTCCAGCTCGATGGACGAGTTGTTGGCATGCGTCTCCACCTCCTTCTGGAGCTTGAGGCGGTGCTCGTCCATCTCAGCCTTCAGCTTGTTCTCCAGGGCGATCAGCTGCTTCTGGTGCTGGCGCCGCATCCGCTTATAACCTGACATCTGTTCCCGCAACTCGTTCTCCTGCTCATGCTCATGGATCTGCCGTGTAACCTGAATTGAGTCGGGGAACAGAACTCAGATCACCAGGTTCACGAGGGAAAACTTTCCAGGCAGAACAGAACCCTCCGGTGTTCCCCGTCCTGGCACCGTCCATACAGCCAACACTCTCCTGTAGGGGGCGCAGTGCTGGGTGTGCTTCCCACTTCTCTGATCCCTCAAAACCATCCCATTCATTTTATGCAGTCACAAGAAAGGTGTTACTGCTCCCGTTTTGTAGATAAAGACATTGAGCAGTTTAGGGAAGTAATTTATTTATTTATTATATTTGGTCAAAATGGGCTTTAACACATTTTTGCTGTGCCAGTTATATACTGCTAATAACGGGGAGAGGTGGGGAGCTGGGATTCAGACCCATTTCTGTCAGATTCCAGAGCCATGCCACACCAGCATTTCTCAACCTGGAGGCTACTGACAACTGGCTGGATAACTGTGTGTTGTGGGAGATGCACAGGAGGGTAGTGAGTAGCATCCCTGGACCCACTCACAGCCAGTGGCAGCTCCCAAGTCATGACAATCAAAACTGTCTTCATGGGGCTGGAGTTGTCGCTCAGCAGTAGAGCGCATGCCTCGAACATGTGAGGCACTGGGTTCAATTCCTAGCACCATATATAAATACAAATAAAATAAAGGTCCAGGGCTGGGGTTGTGGCTCAGTTGGTAGAGCGCTTGCCTCGCATGTGTGAGGCACTGGGTTTGATTCTCAGCACCACGTATAAGTAAATAAATAAAGGTCAATCAATAACTAACAAAACAAAACAAAACAAAACAAAACAAAAAACCTTCAGATAGTGCCAGATGTGCCTCGCAGAGCAAAATCCCCTCCAGTTGAGAAGCACTGTATTATTTTGTTTTGTTTTGTTTCTTCTTCTTTGTTTTTTGGTTAGAATTATGACTCTAACAGTGAAAAGGACTTTAAATATTCCTCTAAAATGGTCTGAATATGATTTATTTCCTATTCTTGTGGCCAGGGGTGAAGAGGGAGAGGGGGGAAAGTGGGGGTGAGAGAGCTCTTTTAAATCATCTGTGTCCTTCCTCCTCTTCCTCACAAAAGAGATGTTAACAAATTATAATAATTTTTTCTTACAAAGGAGAAAGCATTTCTATGACTTTTGGGTAGCTGCTTTTCCTGGTAACTTTTCCTTAACTTATCCTCTAGAAAATATCCAACAAGTTGAACAGTAAGAACAAAAATCTTAGAATCTCTAGTTTCTTTCTGAGGAAACTTCTCTGATTTTCTAGACCGTCCTTCAATTTACCATCCTTCCTTATTTTTCTGTTAGAGTGTCCTGTTAGATCAGTTTTTTTCTCATTTTTCCTATTTTATAAAAAATTTAATTACAAGATTATAACTTTAGTTTTGTACTTCATGAGGTGATTCAGTCACTCCCATGGACATAGGTACTTCTTCCCATCCTAACCCCCAAACAAGTTTTACTGGAAATTTTCATGCTGTTATTAATGCTCTGTACTATTTTCAGTTTATGGGTCAAAGAGCATTTTATACAAAGAACAATTTGTTTCTCTGCTCTTTTTCGAAGGTGTCCCTGCACACTAGACGGAGTCCTTACTATCAAGAAAGTGCTGTTCTGTAACGGGAGAGTATTATCACTGTAGACCATTAAACGTTAGCTGAACTTTCAAATGTTTCCAGCTGAAACAAACACAAGGGTTCAAATTCATTTTTCTTTTCTGAAGGACAAACCTCCTTAAAGTATGAGGAGTAAGAACAGAAGGTATTTCAAGATCAAAAAAAGGATAGCAACTCCGAAAAGACATCTAACCCTCTAAAGAAAATGAATGATCGATTTTGTCATCATGACAGCAGGTTGTTTATTTATTTATTTTGGGTGCTGGGGATGATACCCAGGCAGGGGCTTGGGCAGGCAAAGCCCTGAGCCATACTCCAGCTCTGCTGTTATTTTTTTCTTACATAGTTTTATTTCTCAGTGGAGGCAAGGAAAGAAGTAGTTTGGGATGTATATATAAACTTCACTCCTTCATGCTTATGCTTTCCTCAAGCACAACTTTAGGGAAAAAGTAATTTTAATCAATAGAAAGGATACCATTTAGGGACTGTGGGGTTGTGGCTCAGTGGTAGCGTGCTTGCATAGCATGCATGAGGCACGGGGTTTGATTCTCAGCACCACATACATACAAATAAATAAAATAAAGACCCATCAATAACTAAAAATATTTAAAAAAAAAGAAAGGATACCATTTAGCCCTTTCTGAATTTAATTAATTATTTAATTTCAGGTAAACATCCCAGTAGTTCCTGTTCCCAGGTAACAAGTTAAAAGATAGGCTTACCGGACCCCAATTTTTCTTATTTTAGTATTCCCTCTATAATAGAATTCCCAAAGCTGAGGCAGGACACACACTAAGGCTACCATGACACATTTTAAAAAACAAGTCGCAAGCACTGGTGTGTGGCCAGCCAGATATTCTCAGAGTGGCCATTTCCCTAAACCAAGAGGCTAGGGATAAAAGAAAATGGAGCCAAGAAATATTTCCTAGCTGAACTGGTGGGTGGGTCCTGTAAAGAGGGCTGATTCTACTGCTCACCAGAGTACACCTGGTGACAAAGCTTGCCACGTTGTCACTGTACATTAATTCCAGGAGTCACATTTTGCTTTCGGACCCTTTCCATGATTTGGATAATCACCTTTTTAACCTCAGAATATCACCTCCCTTTTCCCATTTTTCAAAACCAAACTTTCTAAATTGCAAATTGTCTTTTTGGGCACACAGGGAGACACTCAGTTTTATACATGCTTAAGGTGAACATGTGAATTTAAATAAAAGTATAACTAGATGTTTCATTTGTGAAGCTTAACATGAAATATATTAAAAATATGTTAATTACATTATGTATGCCTGTGTGTTTTAAGTTTACACTGTGTGGCTAAACAATATGCTACTTGGTAAACAGAATTTTTTAAAAAGCCATTAATTAAGCCATAATTTTATCATGCTTTATGGTTTACAAAGGCTTTCACATATAATTTACCTCTTTAATTTTTACAAGGCCTGGGGTTTTAACCAGGGTCCTATGATTCTTGAATTGCCTGAGGGAATTCACATCACCAAGGCAGAAAAAGAATGATTATTCTCTGCTATGAAGTAATAGAGGGAATCAGCCCCCCAAAAGTCAAAGTTGGTGAGAGGGCTAAGTTTAAACTACGATTTTTGTAAGTCTTAAAAGGAGAAAAAAGTTACAGAGATGCAGTGACAAGTTCTCACAATGGTAGCCTCAGCATGTGAAAAAACACAAAGGGGTAGTGCCATCATGCCACACCCAGTGGGTCCTTCACTTATGCAACTGACCTTGGACAAAGGACTTGACCCCATGAGGTCTTCACATGTACAGAGGACCTAGGATGATCTTCCACAGGACCGGAGGACTGGGTGAGATGACACATGTCAAAGTGCCTGGCCAGGTGTCCCCGACACACAGGAAAGGTTCACTGCGTGCTGTCTCCCCTCCTCCTGCGAGGCTGAGCAGTGTGTCTCTACCCTCTGCTCACCATGTCTGGTGATAGAGATACAGATGACAGTGCATGGGTCCAAGAGCAAGCACACGTTTAACAATAAAATTCTCCCTGTACCCAGCTTGTGGATTGTAAGAATAAGTCCAGGGTAAGGGTGCAGCTAGTGGAGAGTACCTGCTTACAATATGTGGGGCCCAAGTTCAATGCTCATCACAAAAAAGGAAAAAAAAAAGTATGTGCAGTTTCTTTTCTTTAGGGTGATGGAGACCAAACCACCCAGGACCTAAAGCATGCTAAGCACATAGTCTACAACTGAGCTACATCCCCTTATATAATTTCTGAATCTGAATTATTACTATTTCATATACCTGGGCTGTGTAAAAAAAAAAAAAAAAGAGCAAGTGATAAATAATGACCCAAAGGAGGACTGAAATTAAAAAAAAAAAAAGTTGTCCAAAGCTTCTTTACTTAATCCCAGCAAAATTTGGCCCTAAAATAAACCATTTTATACAAAGTATAAAATGTGCCTATTATGAACAAAATGCTGTACTAGAAGGCCAATAAGCAACTTATTGAACACAGTAGATGTTCAGCATGGTGGCTGATAATGTCACCCTCTTAAGAGATCAAAGCCAATTTACGAGATTAATTATTTGTAAGAATCAAAATGATGCGTATGATAAAAGTGGCCACCTCAGCACTTAGCACAAATGAAATTTATGGCAAGTTCTTAAAAAGAATACAATGAGTCACATTTTGGCATTAGAGATGTGACAGTCCCCTCTTTAGAACACCTAAGGAAAAAGTGCTTTAAGTTCTTACTGAAAGGAATGACTGATATTAGGCTATTCTGCCTTGCAACAGAAAATATTATATGAATAACTCAGCAATGCACACTTCAAATCCAAATTCTCATGTGACAGCAGGGCAGGAAGAGACCTCATTCATTCATTTATTCATTCATTGGGCACATGTTTATTGACAGACTTGGGCCACGTGGGCTGGGCACAGTGAAAAATGGTATCTATTAGTAATGACCTCAGAGAGCTAAGAAGTAAAGAATAAGGAAGGAGACAGGCAATATTTCCCTAAATATCCTCTGGTACACTGTCCAGGAAGGGAACACATTTTCAAGTATTTAAAAAAAAAAACAAAAAAACTGGGCTCATGAGAGGTGAAACAGTAGCATTCACTGTGGAGGCTCTAATATATTTGTATTCTTATGCATCAAATAGATTCAAATATCCGATTTCACAATTATTTGAATAATTAGACTACATTTTGAAAACTCCAAGTGTATACCCCTTTCTGAAACTAGTAAAGTCAAGTAAAAGAATTTGCCTGGACAGAACAATAACCATTTTCTCCTCTGTGCTTCTCTGGGAACTCCCAGATCAGAGTGTCCCCCTTACGCGGCTGTCCTCCTAATGTGTTCTACCATACCTGCGCAGTGAGACCATTGTAGTCCACTGGGAATTCCTTTGTAAGGCCAACAACTCAGTTGTCGGGTAGATATATATGGTCTTGGAGTCCTTTATTAATGTCTACTATGGAAACTTCCAGGGACCCACACACTACAAAATTTTAAGAAGAGATGGCATCAGATGTAGCAAGAGCTGAAACATTCTCATGGGTCATTAATATAATTAGAACATGAGGATCTCCATTCACCAACAATAAAAATTTAAGCAATGCACATCTCAAAGGGCCAAGGAGACAGATTCATAATTCTGAAGAGCTATATAAACAACTTTCTCCAGATAACAAATCAGCTTAGTATGAACTTTCTCACAGAAGAAGGAAAATGAAAGAAAAAAGTGTAAATGTCCTTCTTTTTTTTTTTAACTCTTCAGAGTAAGGCCAATAATCTCTGCCTTTGGAAGATTATAATAAAAAAATTACTATTCTAAAGTTTCCTCTGGTTTCCAGGTTGGTGTTCCTTCTTTTTCCTTTGTTATAAATTGGAGTGTGTAGCAGTGCGTGAGGACCCCCAGATCTCAGTTTTGAGGTGCCCAAATAATAAAAGCAGCCAGCAGTGTGAGCCTGTCACTCATGATCTTCATACACTTGTGAATCACCTTATTCAGAAGCATGATTAGAAAATATTAACGAGGGGAGACGCCACAAAGGTAGGCCTCTTTGGGGTGTATGTTGAAGAGGTAGTTTTGTAAAACAAATTTAGGAACAGTAATTTCTTAAAATTAATTTTCAAGTCAATGTAAAATACACTCTCATGCTTTGTTCCTCATAACTAAAAAATTAACTTCTAAATTCTCTTTGGTATTCACTTTTGGAACCCTCTGTGGCTTGATAGAACCTCTACTGGAAGGGTATAAAGCAAGAGTAAAACCCATATCAATCAATGTGTGTTGCTACCAGCTATGAGATGTGAGGCAAGACTTCAACAACAATTTGATTATTTGTTACACTGGACCTTCATTTCCCCATGATCTTGCTCTTACTTTGAAGTTATTTATGCCATTTTAGTCCTTTTCATTTGAATTGGGATCCATAAAAACACAAGAGGATTCATCATAAAATACTTCTTTATGATATTTCAGTGTCCTGGGTTATATACTTCTTTTGGAAGGTTTTAAAATAAAATAAGATAATGGGTGGTAGAGCAGTAGCCCTTGATAATATATGTTAAAATAGCCACACCAATAGTGAGATTGTCCAAAATGGGGCATGGAATCATATAATCCCATACCCTTTTCCCCTTCCATCGATTTATTTTTCTTCCTCAAAATCACTAGATATAAATGCCACTGAGCTCTGCAAAACTTTCATCCATCCTGTCATGACCCCCATGGCATCACATTTGGAAGGGTAGCCACAAGAACACTTGCTTTTGTGGCTGAAGCAACAGCCCATCAGCTATTCTGTTTTTAACTTACATGAGGGCAGGGGCCCTTCAGCAAATCAAAACTCCATCCGAGACATGGAGCTGGGCAGTTCTCTGGATGGGCGTTATGAAGCTTGTAGGATTCAGAGGGGCTCCTGAGGACCTTTCCCCTCGCCTGAATGGCCTGGCAGGGAAGCAGCTTTTATCCTCCCCAGACAGGAAGACTGTGATGGCTGATACACAGAGTGGCCCTGGGTGAGTTCACAGATGCCAGCGTGAGATTATCCTGGCATGACTGTAGTAGTAGCTTAGAGGGAGGGAGGAGAGTCATGAATATATGATGTGGGAATGAGGGTGTGGCACGTGGGAAAAGGAGAACCTGTCCCGGAGGGGGGAGGCCACCTGGTACAATGTCCGATTCCACAGAAACCAGCTCATGGTGTCCCGATGCTCTGGGCTCCCTCACCGTTCCTCCTCTCACTTCTACATGAGCAGGTTTGGATAAAGGTACAAGTCTCACCAGAGTCTGTGGTAAGTAGCAATGGTGCTCTCAAATACCATATGTATTCTTTTGTCAGACATCATGGCAGGAAGATAATTATTATTTAATAATCCCATGATGCTTTATTTAGACTCAAAGCACATTTCTAGGTGCTTAACAATCATTAGCAACTACATAGTGGACATTTTAAGATCTCCATTACACAGCAGAGCATTCCTTGAAAATAAAAAAATTACCTTTCAAAGCATTACAAGAAACTTCTCCATAAAGGAACTTAAGAGTGGGATTATTTATAAGCAGTCTAAATTAAATTGCTTGCTTTTAGACAGCAGCAGGCATGAGCAAAATATGAAGGGGCTTTAACTTCCATTTTCCCTATATTTGGGTTTTTCAAGAGTATGATCCATTCTAAATTTCAAAGATAATCAGAGCCTTGGAAGACTTGAGAAATAAAAGTAGAAATTGGGTTTGAAAAATAGGACAAGAAAAATGATCATTTCTGGGTCGGCCTCCGATGATGTCATCATAGGTTCTAAATGTAATAGCCAAGCAGTGTATACTAACTCTTTCTGCCCATGTGACCTCTAACATCAATTTGGGCAAAACAACTAATATTTCAATAATTTTTTGGCTGAGAAGTGAGATGAAGGAGGAAAAGATTAAAGAGAGTTTACAATGCCAAGGATGAAACGATGTCTGTGTGTGTGTGTGTGTGTGTGTGTGAGTGTGTGTGTGTGTGAGTGTGAGCGCGCACGCGCACGCGTGGGGGGCCAAGGGGAGGAGGCATGAAAACTAACTCTTCCAGCACACACCCCTTTTGCTACTACAAGGGCATCCAGCAATCACATTTGCAATAGTAAAAATGCTGAAGAATCCTACAGCCCCTTTTCTTCCACGATCAGCCCTCTCCTCTCCTAAAAGCCCTTCTTGCTTTATTGGTGCCGGAAATTCTTTAGGGGTTAAATGGGGAAGTGCAGCCACTACCATTGTTGCAATAAATAAATGAATGAACCAGAACGAACCAGCAATCCATCCCTGGGTAGCAAGTATCTGATTTTTCTCCAATTAGAGACATCAACCAGCAACCATATATTTTTAAAAATTGTCTTTTATCTTTTCATGTGTGTGTGTACATTACAGACACACATGCAATATACAAAAATAAGCAGTGCCCTGCATGCACATACATCAATACCTTTAAGAACATTTTTAGCATTATTTATTTCAATGAAAAGACAGATAGCTTTTAAAAAATTAAACAGGCTAGCCACTCATCCCAAAGGCCTTATATTTTGCACATACAGCAGATACAAATATATACACACAATCACACACACATCACACACACACACACACACACACACACACACACAAAGGTTTTTTTTTTTTTTCCATGCCATAGACAATGCTAAAATATCTGAGCTCAGGTTGCTATGCCAACAGATTTTTTTCTAAAATGAATAAAATTATTAGAAGGGAGAAAACATTCTTGACTCCCTTCCTTCCATCCATGAAGCCGAGAGAGGCTCAGGGAGGGCGAGAGGCTGCCAGACGGGGAGGAGGGGAAGGAAGGGAAGGTGGGTAGAGGGGTGTTTGCTTACCAAAGATGCTGATTTGATCGTGGCAAAGCGCTCTCTGTTCCGGTAGTGGAGGGCCTGGCTCTGAACTGACTGGGTAGGCCGCGGCTCAGGCCTGGGATCGCCGTGGCCCGCCTCATCCCTTATGAATACATGATCCTGCAGAAATGGATAAAAACAAGGAGAAAGTCCAGCTGTGCTCTTTCCTCGCCGGCTGCCTCTCTCTCACCCCTCTTTCTGCACAAGCACTGCTGTTTGAAATGCATAGTTTAGCTCTCTGCTAGTCCCCGCAGCTCCCACGGTACAAAATGAATAAGCAACACATTGCAGCCTTCAGTTAGGAATGTCAGCTGATCGCTAGTGGGATGCCTTCTGAATCCCTGGCAGGCTTTTTCTTTACCTCCAGAATTACATATATGCAAAAGAAAAAAAGAACAGAAAAAACAATGCAATGTACAGACTTCTCAGAACAGTTTGCTTAAAACGCTGTAACCAAATAATTCCTTTAAAAATGTCATGTCCATGTCTAGCAAGGAGGATGCTGGTGGCTTTTGACATAAAAGCGAGCCTCCGCCTCATTCCCTTGAAAGATCTGCGTTCTCAATTGAATTTTATTTGAGATCTGGTCGGTAGGATCATCGTTCTGTCTAGAACCAGTGGAGGCGTGTGCCGAACTGCCTCTCTATCTTGTGCTGGGAAGATTCGGCAGTCACTGAGGGATCCTGCTTTCCAGTCATGATCGTACACAGTTCTAGCACCTTCTCTCTACAGCTTCTGAAAGGATTTTTTTTAGATTTAAAGAGACAGGCGTACAATTTCAGCCAAATGATACTTTCACAAATTCTCCCTCAACTCGGTGTCGGTATGTCACCAGAGTGAGTAAAGCTGGAATTTAATGTCCTTGTCTGATTTAATCAAGCCTGTGTTTCTTGATAGGCGAAGATGATTAATCTTATTCTAACGCCCAGTGAAAAATCACATTCCCTGGAAGGATAATAATGGATGTTTCTTAAACGCAACTGAAATGACTTTTAAAGGGGAAAATGCTTTCAAAGGACAAAGCTCCTCTCTATAAAGAAGAGGTGGTCAGTCAGTGAGTAGCTCTGACCCCTCAGGTAAAAAAGGTACTCGAGTAATTTGGAGCTAAAAAATGTACAACTGTGGGGGATTTTTAAAGAGCAACACATTCAAGATGGGGAAGGAGAAATTCATTCCTTACTTCCCTAGGGTTTTTGGAAGGAAAACCATTTGTGAAGTCAGTTTTGCATTTTGTCCATGATTACTTGAAATTTTTAATAATTGCCCTTTCCTTCTTCAGAAAATAGGAACTACAGAGGCTTACAAAACATAAAATTTTATTATTGTCTAAAAATTTGAAAAGCCAAAACATATATTTCTTGGAGGAAATTAAATTATACACCCAGATTTTTATGTAAAAACAAGTTCTAGATTAAACTTATCACTGGACTCATTTTCTTTTTCCTCTTATAATTTAAAATGTTTTGATATATTGGGAAGGTATCTTCCATTACATCTATTTCATCTATTTTTAAATCTTTTTTTTTCCATTTATGTGTCAAAGTTCAAAAATGAAGAGATCTTTAATAAACATGCCATCCTGGGATGTTCTATAGCTGTGCTATTCAAAAAGATAGCCACTAGCCACATGTGGCTATTTTAATTAAGATGAATTAAATTAAGTTAATTTAAAATTAATTAAAATGAAACAAAGCATAAAATTCAGTTCCTAAGTGAGACCAGCTACATTTCAAGCATTCGGTAGCCAGAGTTAGTGGCCACCAGGTTGGGCAGCACCAATGTAGAACATTTCCATCATTGCAGAAGTTCTACCAGACCATGCACAATTGGTTAAAAATTGAAACTTACAAGAAACTGCTTCAGGGGGTCAGTTAAAATTACTCTGTATTACTTCCGGGAAATCTGAACTAATTTCACAGGGAATAAGGTGTATGATTGGGATTCCTGCACCAGGTGTAAGGTTCTAAAGAGGAAGGCCCTGGGATCTGCTACCATTTCATTACTGTACATTTATTTATAAATCATCTTTATGTCCAAAATTGAACTTCCTTAATATGACAGCCACAGAAAGGCATACAGCCTTAAATGCCAGCAGACACAAGAGAGACAGGAGGCAGATGCCTGTGGTTTTATACATAACCTTACCAAGTCACAGTTTTGGTGACTATTAGTTGGCTAACAAATTAAATACACTGATTGAGCGGGAGACCTCAAATATGCAGTAGCAGCTAAGTTTCACAAAAATGAAATGTAAAAATGTGGTTTATGAAGATAAACTAGTGACAGTAGAATTCACGTCACCCACATGTCAAGTCAAAATAAAACTTGTTCATGCCTAAATTAGTGTAAATTGATTAGTTTGTTTCATTTCTATTAGAAATCAGTATTTTGAGGTTAGAACCCTGATTATCAAATTAAAAGCCATGCTATATTTTGTAAGTTTTTTAAACATAAAGAAATTGGAATACAGCGGAAAAGTTAGAAATTCAAAATCACGTTGTTTTAGTTGATACATGTGTAATGAAATTACTCACTAAGATATATTTTACAAACAATGCTATTTTAGAAGGTAGTTCAAAAACAGGTCCAAAATTTTAATCTACTTTAAATATAATAATTAATGATAATGGCATAATTCCTTGCTTCTTCCTAATTTTTTTTCTTTTATAAAAGAATTCTTAGTTTTCCAGGGCAGTTTTCTATCAGAAATTAAAAGTCTTCAAATATTATGCAAAAGGCAATGAAATGAGGTAACACTTTAGCCTAACAGTAGATACCCACTTCGAGTGAATTAGAAAGTGTGTGTGTGTGGGGGGATGTGTGCGCGCGCACGCTACGTTTTCATGTGTGTGCATGTGTGTGTGTATTGCTGGAATCAAATCCAGGGCCTTGGACTTGTTTTGCCACTGAACTATATCCCCAGCCTCAGGTAATAAATTTTTAAAAATACTCAATTTCACTGTATAAAATACATTCAAAACTCCAAAGGTAACTTGATGAAGCAATTTTTAAAAAAATGTTTTCTTAGTTGTAGATGGACACGATATCTTTATTTTTATGTGGTGCTGAGAATCAAACACAGTACCTCACATGTACTAGGCAAGTGCCCTACCACTGAGCTATAGCCCCAGACCTTAATGAACCAATTTTAAAAAGAGGGTAATGTGATTTGAGAAGTAGGCCCAAACAAATTAAATATTGTTTGTTACACTGTCCCATCAGGCAACAGTCCCTTTGAAAATGACCACTGTACTCCGCTCCCAGAATTTCTGAACTGCACACTTTTTTTTTTCCTGGTACTGCAGACTGAACCCAGGGGTGTTCCACCACTGAGCTACATCCTCAGCACTTTTTATTTTTTTGTTTTGTGACAAAGTCTCATTAACTTGCCCAGGCTGGCCTTAAACTTGGCTCCTTCTGCCTCAGCTCTAGAGAAGTTGGGATTACAGGTGTGTGCCACTGTATCTAGCTCTGAACTGCACACATTTTAAGACTCATGATGGAAAGGATCAATTTGCTAATTTATGCAGTTAGGCAGCATATGCAGATTATTTGCTAATGAAGATGAGAGGGCCAACATCAACTCTGAAGAATTATTTCAGGAGATGAAGAAATATCACATTCTACTTTACCAAGATCAAATATATGGCTTGGGTATAATTTAACCTGAAAACATTACCATCCAGGAACCAATAAGATAGTTCCTTGAATTTCCGATATGATTAGGGATCTGCTTTAAGTCAATGTGTGCTAACCTGATAAATTACAACACTCTTCCGTTATAAAAAATAAATTTCCACAGATTAAAAAAATGTTGTAATGTTTGTTCAAAATCTTTAGTGGAAAGAATATTTTACGATATAGTGAAAAATATGAACTAGGAGACATAAACTTTATTCTCATGCCCTGGACAATGGGTTTTTGCTCTTATCTAGAGGTCCCCACTAAGCATCTGGTATTACACATCTGAGATGCAGATTCATGGTGCAATCACCTGCCTAGAGTTTATGCTACCTGGAACTTGGCCTGTAAGCCGTTTCTGAGGGCTCCAGTATGTTTGGGGTCTTCCTTTATCACAATGCTCATCATACTCACTTGTCTGGCTCTGCGTGAGAGGGTGAGCTTTTTGAAGGCAGAGCAAATCTGATTTGAAACATCTCAGTCTCCCAGCACCGGGCACAGTGCTTGATACTTAGTAGGCATTCAGTAAATGTTTGCTGAATAAACAAGCTCAGAATAGAGCTTTGAGGAGATTTTTGAGAAAATGACATTTTCTCTTGGATTATTTAACAGAATTCAAATTTGTATTTCATAAAACCTGCCACTCTGTACTCTAAGAAAGTCATAAAATAGTTACATACACATACACACACACACACACACACACACAAGCACACATGAGCACACCTTTCTGGGGTAGGTGCGTGCGTGTGTGTGTGTGTGTGTGTGTGTGTGTGTGTCTAAAAATGGCTTTTATCCCATGATGTGAAGGCCTCTATAGACTCCCACACTTTTTATGCTGCGGAAAAGGGACTGGTAGACCCTACCATCTCTCCTTTGTTTTATTCCTTTCAAATCCATTCCTGATGGTTGAAGCAGGTACAGTTATCAGGACCTGGGGCTGGAGTGTGGGGAACAGAAGATGGAAAGACAGTCAGGGAGAAAGGATGACAAGGAGATGAGGGTGAAGATGTGACTAGAGGGAGGGGTGGCTGCTTTGGACATTCACACATTAAATTACTTAAATTTTTTTAAAAAATATTTTTTTAGTTATACATGAGCACAATATTTTTATGTGGTGCTGAGGATCGAACCCAGTGCCTCACGTGTGAGAGGCAGCGCTCTGCCACTGAGCCACAACCCCAGCCCCGTTAAATTACTTTTACTTTGCCAAATGTGAGTCCAAGAGTCAGAGAACTTGCCTCTCTGTTCAGCAAAATAACAGGAGAGGCCACCAGAGCAAGTGAAAATTAAACCAGAACATCCTATCCCCCAAGGACATTTCTTCTTCTTTTTTTTTCCTTCCTACAAAAATGGTGAAAGCTGTTTTATTTTCTTTTCTTTAAGAACAGGAGAGAAACAACTGAAAAGAATGATAAAAAATATTTTCCATAAGTAAT